AGAGAAGAAGGCTTTATGAGTTGTAGCAAATATATTTGCATTCAGATTTACCAAACAACCATTTAATCCAATAGGAAAAGTTTCGTTTGATAAGATTGTGTGGAAGTGTAGTGTAAAAAGTTGAAAAGTCAAAACTGTCAACAGAATCAAAAGGACTATGAAAGGCACGATATTTATCAAAAACATCCAAAGACTTTTTTACACTCCAAAAATAGTAAATTTCACTATTTTTATATGCTTTTTTATAAAAGTTAATGATAAGTTCTTTGATAGTAGTTAGGGACCAGTTAGGTTTTTGTGTAGTTTAACCAATACATAGTAGGAACCTTCAAATGTTCAGAATAGGCCCTAAGCTGTGATGTGGTTATGATATGATTGTGTACTATATGACTGTCTGTGGAGCGTTCGGACTTCAATGTAGAAGAATTTAAAATTGCATTCTTAAGAACGTCCGTGTTGTATTTACGGCATACCACCATCACATTGTTGGCTGCTTTGTCGGCCGGTACACACACAAACCGCTTTGCGAGTACTTGAAGTTTGTTTCTTATTCTAGAAATAGGCGTATTATGTATTCTAAATTAATTTCAAAATTGTGATATTCGAATATCCACAACATTCATACATTTATTTAAATAAGAATAAAGAGAATTTTCCCGTTTCCACCAATTTTTAGAATACAATGAAAGAGCATCCTTTGCGACCTGACGACACTGTTTCCAATCTATTTTAAATGGAGGACGATATTTTGGTCCTTTTTCAAAAAGTTTTTAAACTTTCGTTCTTGAACGGTATTGAGGTCCCCCGTAATAACATGGTCATAGGGATCATATCCAAAATTCGATGATTCACAGTCTCAAGTTAAAGGAGTATTGTTTCTACTCTGACGTCTGATGTTATTGACGTATAATTAAAAATTAAACTTCTGCTGGGTTTTTTGTGTGTATACGAAATAATAGGTGGTTCTGTGATATTAAAATAGGGAGGTATAACGTTTTGAATGGTAGAGTCATTAAATATACTCGATAAGTTGATGAAATCAATACCTCTGTTTATATATTTAATTTTCAGAAAATGCCTTTATGATCTTCAGGTTTATTGATACGCGAGAACAGTTAATGGTGGCAAAAAGCTGTAATTATACGCGAATATTCATAAAGTGGGCTGAAGAACGAGATTGTGGTACACTCCTTGAAAATATCATTTTACTTATTGGTATTTGACCCAGTTTACATAATAATTGATGCCTACCATTGTTTTTAAATGTAGATAGAGGAACATCAAGTGTATAATTTATACGATGTTTAAATCGTTGATTTCGATTGATACGTTTGCCATGAGACCTAATATGACATTGTCTTTTATCAACAATATTAATGATATCAATAGAAGAAGTTTTAGATATGTTCCCTTGTCCCATTATATTGTCATTTAGACCCAGGGTATATGCTGTCTGCAGTCGCTTAATCCAAGACAGTTCGATAATTTTACGGGAATCTTCAAATTGTTTATGCGATTGCCCTTGTTGTTTCTGGATCGTTTCGAGTGGTTTGAAACCTACCAGTATAAAAATGCTACATGTTAGAACGAAAACATCAAACAAGATGTGAACAAACACATTGATCAATACCACATTTAATCTACAAATGATCTTTTGAATATAGTCACTGACAGACTACTTAAATTAGCCAAGAAAAAAGTATCCCCTAGGAGACAATCACAAACAAGAAAGAAAAAACTACAAAAGAACTTGTTTACATTAAAAGTAAGATAAATGACAATACAGCCATTGCTGCACGTAGGAAATATCGAAAAATAACAGACAGTACATCAGACAAAGCAAACATCTTTAATAGTCAGTTTCATTAAGCATTTTGATGAAACAACAAACACATCAATACCGAACAAGAGAAAATCACACTATCCAAATATGAAAAACGTCACTTTTTGCAACGAAGGGTGTAAACAAATTACTGATAAGAGCAATCCTTATTCAGCAACTGGTCCTGATCAAATATGCGGAAAGGTACTGAAAAAAGCTTAGTAGTGACATCTCAACCTCAATAAAATACATATTTGAGAACTCGCTAGACACAGGAAACAGGAAAAACCCCCAGTGGATTGTTTTTAAACAAGAGGCTCTCAAGAGCCTGAATCGCTCACCTGTAATTTTTTGTTTAAATCTTTTATCAATGATTATTTTTGCTTTTCAATATATATTAATGAGTGGCTTAACAATGCCATTTAAATGTTCTTTGTATCTGTCATATTTTCTTCAAAAGCAAAAAAATGCATTTTACCCCTATGTTCCATTTTAGCCATAGTGGCTATGTTTCTTGACGTACAAGGAAATAGAATACAAAATTTATACAAGATACTCTGAATCTCATTCAGCCCAAGTTTGGCTGAAAATGATTCAGCAGTTTCAAAGGAGAAGATTTTTTAAAGTAAGCAAACTAGATTAGATGAACAAATTGTGAAAAATTGTCTTTAAAGAACAAAAACTCCTTAAGGGTTCAATTGACAATTTTGGTCATATACAACTTATTTGTAGATCTTACTTTGCTAAACATTTTTGCTGTTTACAGTTTATCTTTATCTATAATAATATTTAAGATAATAACCAAAAACTGCAAAATTTCCTTAAAATTACCAATTTAGTGGCAGCAACCCAACAATGGGTTGTTAGAAATTTATCTGAAAATTTCAGGGCTGATAGAACTTGACCTAATGAACATTTTCACCCAATGTCAGATTTGCTCTAAATGCTTTAGTATTTGAGATATTAGCCAAAAACTGCATTTTACCCCTATGTTCTATTTTTAGCCATGGCGGCCATGTTTTTTGACGAAACTGAAAATAAAACACAAACTTTATTCTAAATACCATAAGTATCATTTAGCTTAAGTTTAGTTGGAATTGGTTCAGTAGTTTCAGAGGAAAAGATTTTTTTAAAGTTAGAAAACATGATAAACAAATTGTATAAAATTGTCCTTAAAGGGCAATAACTCTTTAAGGGGTCAATTGACAATTTTGGTCATATAAAATTTATTTGTAGATCTTACTTTGTTGAACATTTTTGCTGTTTACAGTTTATCTTTGTCTATAATAATATTCAAGATAATAACCAAAAACTGCATTTTAACCCTATGTTCTATTTTTAACCATGGCGGCCATGTTTTTTGACGAAACAGAAAATAAAACACAAACTTTATTTTAGATACCCTAAGGATCATTCAGCTTAAGTTTGGTTGGAATTAATTCAGTAGTTTCAGAGGAGGAGATGTTTACACCGGACGGACGACGACGACGGACGACGACGGACGCCAAGTGATGGGGCAAAAGCTCACAGTTCCTAAAAAAGGAGATCAGCACAATGCAATAAATAATTCCAAAGACTCATTCAATTTAACAGCATACTACGTAAAATCATGGGACAAATATATAACTGGCGTTCAAAAATTACAAGCGTTGTATCTTTGATGAGCACTTGCAAAATAACAAAATAGTGAACGATCCTTAACATGGATTCTGGGGATTAACATCATGTGAAACTCATCTATTTTCACTCAACCAAGGTCTTACAAAAACACAACAATACCTCCAAAGTGATATAATTGTGATCGAATTTGCCAAAGCGTTTGACAAAGTACATCACAAAAGACATCTCTTAATTGGTATGGCATTGAATACAACACCTAACGGATAGACGCTTTTTCTCACATTCGTCAAAAAAGCAGCCGTTATTGATTGTGTACAATCAGACAAAATTAATGTGACATCTGGTGTTCCCCAAGAACATTTTTGGGTCCTATCCTGTTCCTTATGCATGTAAATGACTAACGTTAATACACCAAACACAGCACCATAAGATTAGTTGCAGATAACATCATAATATACAAGTCAATCATAACTGAGAAGACACTCAAAAATTTCAAAAAGACCATTTATCAGCAGCCAGTGGGAGGGGGCTAGCTCATTTCTTTTCACCATGAAAAATGATCATTCCTGCAGATAACAACTATTTAAAATCCAATAAGTTTGACCACACTCTTCACAACTTACGAGTTTGAATGTCCCTTTGGTATCTTTAGCCCCTCTTTCACGAACATGTTATGCAGAAAAACATCCACAAAGCATCTTGGAGTTACAATACAAAACAAAAACTTAAAATGGAACAAACATGTCAATAATGTAACAGCTTCAGCCACATGCATGTTAAACTTTGTAAAGAGAAACCTAAAGGTCAACTGAAAAACAGTTGAAAAAAAAGCTTATACATAACTCGTAAGATCAAAGCCAAAATACAGCAGTTGTGTCTGGGAACCACACACCATATTACAAACACACCGACTTGAGATGTTCCAGTGCAAAGCAGCTATGCACTCTTGTAACAGATACCATAACACCAGCTCAGTAACTGAATTGCTATATACACTCAACTGGACAATTCTAGAAAAATGCGAAAAATAACATTTATCATCTTTTTCTACACATACACCATCATGTAGCCATATAACCCAACATATGTGCTTATCCAAACAGATAGGAGAACAAGACAACATTCAGACGTTAATCGTTTTTAAAGACCAATTCAGACCACTAAAGATTAATAAAAATATTCATTTCACCCAAGGGAAATGTTATAATGGAACCTCCTACCTTTAGCTGCAGTATAATGTACTACACTTGACTTTACGAGAACTTATCTAAATATATGTTCTCAACAAACATCTCCACATATAGATAAAAACTACACTGTATTTAGTATTAACCAAAATGCAATGTAAACAAACAGAAGAAGAAAAAAGGAAATAATTTTTAAATAAAATTCTTAATTGTACATGTACATTGTAAATGTGATTTAAATAAAAATTAAATGTTTAGGATTGAGCGTTCCTGATGAAGGGAAATCCAAAAATTTATAAAATGTTATTTTCACCATATTGATAATCGTGTATAATAGTAATTCAAAATATTATTATGATTGTTTCGTTTAGATATATCAAATGGCAACATCTCAAGAATCATGTGATCTCTGCGTCACAGGTCATACATCATCCATAGCTGTTACGTGGTGCCCAGAATGTGTAGAAAAACTATGCGACAAATGTTCCCACCATCATAGTCTGTCATCAGTCACAAGAACACATGGTATTTCTACTATGGCGGACTATGAGAAACTTCCAGAGATAATTCGCAAGACTAAACTTTTCTGCAAGGAACACAGCGAAAAATTAAAATTGTATTGTCGTGACCACGAAATTCCTTTATGCCGAAAATGTATCCTTTCCACGCATAGAAATTGCGAAAACACTGATATACTAGTCGATGCAGCTAAAAACGTAAAAACATCAACAGCAATGTACTTTTTATTGAGGGGCCTGAGGGATGTTACAAGTAATCTGGCAAAAGCTGCAAAAGATCGAGAGAATAATCTTACAAACATTGTTGCTGAAGAAGATAGCATAAAGGAAAAGATATCAACAAATAGAGATCAGCCAAAAATTTCAAATGAGTTGGCAATGGTCTCCAAAAAATATAGAAAGGAAGTAGGAGAACTTATTACCGACTTGCGGGAAAGAGAAGACAAAATGATAGATTTAGAAAAGGGTTTCACATACATTAATAACTACGCGACTGACATACATGCGTTTGTGTGCATGCTAGAAATGAAGGATATTGTACATGAAGAGGAGATTTATCTAAATAGTATTTACAGCGAAGGTACATTAGATAATATCAATATTTCTCTCACAAGTAGTAGGGATAAAAACACATGTGATGATCTAGAGAATATAAAAGAAATAACCGTTAGGAAATCGACAACTCTGGTTAAAATTACCAAAGGAGAAGACACACAGGGACAGATAGTCATGCAACGTGCGTCGGCTTACGATAATATCAAACTTGAAATGACAGACTTATACAACGTAGAAAGAAAAGGGGACATCACCGGGTGTTGCGTTCTTCCTGGTGGGAAGATCGTGTTGGCTGACAGTTCCGGTGAACTTATCATTCAAGAGGTTAATGGTTCCTCGTTTACCATACCTACAAACAGAGGTATATTTGATGTGTGCGCTATAGATGTAAATACAGTTGCCGTTACCAACGGAATGTTCCGCACTCTTCATATAATTGATTTAAAAAAGAATACAGTCATTAAAAGTACTAGTTCGACAAATGCTTGCTGTGGAATAGCCTATCGCAATGGAAAAATCATATTCTGTGTGAAAGATGATGGTATTTTTACAATGAATCGGAAACTGAGTAACCCTAAACGTATTTTCGAAGACAAATTACCATGGGGGTCATATGTCACAACTTTTGAGGACAAAATCTTTTTTACAAACAGTAAAAAGAAAAATGTTGCTGTTATTAATTCCGATTACCAAATTATATGGAAATTACCGTTCGAAGAATATAAACCTTTTGGTATTGCAGTAGATTGCAAGGGAAATATATACGTTGCAGGCCACATATTTCTGATCGTTATTGCCAGTGATGGAAACAGAAGCAAAAGGCTAGACGGTCGACATGATGGACTGTATCAGCCTTGGCCTTTAGCCTATGACGAGGAAAATAACTGCATTATTGTAGCAAATCTTACACAAGGTCCCGTTCTTGTCTACAATATAATTTAAAAGTCTATAAATATCCAACAAGGCTGCTGAAAGCAGTGAAGAAAAAGAAAAACGGCGAATTTTAGTAATGGAGGAAGACGGTGCAACTACAGAGAACTACCGACGATCGACAAGAAATATGGCAATCCTAAATCGGATACCAACATAACAGCCACAACGGGGTCGAACTCACAAACTCAGTGCTGACAGGCTAATAAAACAGTAAATCTGAACTACTTAGACCACTCACTCATCGAGACCCCCATGCATGCAAAATAGTGATCTAATAGCAAAATATCGAAAAATTCCAAAGAAGGTTTTGCATCATAATTGTTCACAAAAGGACTTTTTCAGGGAAACTACTTCACCCTTCTTTGAAAATTCTTTGTCAATATTATATTATAGATACTTATCTTTAAACTACAATGGAAAAAATTTGTTTTTCGTCGTGTTGAAAGTTATTAAAGATATGAAGGAACTTTTCTGTCTATACATAAAATAATGATGTTCCTGTATATCAGCCTAGAAGAGTGAGTTTTAGGAATACTAGTATAAAGTACATAAAATTATATACATTATAAATCAAGGGCATACATACATCTCATTTGATTTTCTCATTTTTCATCAGTAACCTATTACCTGTATGGTTTTCTTTTGTTCATTGTTGAAGGCAGTACGATGACCTTTAGGTGTGTAAATCAATGTCCATTAGTCTGTGATGGTTATATGTCTCATTGGCAATCATATCACGTCTCCTTATGCTTAAATTGTAAATATACAGTCTAGGACTTCAAATTGAATTTAATGAACAAATATTTAGAAGAAATTGTTAAAATTGCTTACTTAACATAGCTGATAGAAAATGTATGTACATAAATGTCCAAATAACAACACTTGTTATTTATAACAGATGAAAAGGTTCGTCATGGCATATTATTCTGTATTTTTTCTCTCTCTTGAGTGGTTAAAATGAGACAGGTGTAAACATTTCCCGAACTTTGAATGTTTTTAAAATACTCAATAATTGAAACTGAAATCATATTTCAATAAGTTTACTTATTTCCATAAAAATAAAAACAATCCTTGTAAAATTTGCATCGAAAATCATAGCATGCATTTGGTTGCAGAATTACTTGGTCTATGTAGTTTCAACTAAACAGTGACTACTTAATGACGGAAAACGTAAGACATTTATCTTTTTTAATTGCCTTCCTTTCACATCTTTATTTTACTTTGTAATGGTTTTGTCTAAAACAAATTTGATAATGCTTGGTGTTTGCTTTTGCATTTATAATAGGATGGACAATCTTGTCAACAAACGACCTACTGACACTGATGATATAATAAGTAAGCAAAGTTCACAGTTGACTACTCCTGCATCCGCTCTTTCATCCGTACATGATTATTGCTTAGGTTGGAGAACAGTTCAGTCAACGGTTTGGTCGTATTAACCTTTTTAAGGTTTGAACTCTCTAGAATATCGTTCGATATTTTTTGGGATGTCACTTTGATCATGATTTGCTGAGCCTTCTGGATCACCATTTATCACCTAAGTTTTATGGTGAGGTTCGTGATGTTCAGTTTTTAGTTGTATATGTACTGTTGTGTAGACTGTTGTTTTTAGTTTTTTTTCCATGGAGTTACCTTCTTTGACTTGTGAGAATGTTGTATGTCGCTTTGGTATCCTCCGCCTCCTTTTTTAAACCAAAGACAAAAATAAACGTCTTCTCATATAATAATTGTTTCCCGGTGAAAAGAGAGAAGATATTAAAGGAAAAACATGTCAAAGAATAACAGACAATAGCATGAACGAAAAAAAAACCGACAAAAACAACTGTTCATACAAACACTTTCATATAATGATTGAGAAACATAAACCAACCTTATCAGAAACTGTGATTAAATCGGAAGCGTAAAAGACGGACTGCTCTACTAGTGACTTCAAACCAAAAAGAACATTTTAAAAATATCTTTTGAATTGAACAAGATATTAGCAAAACTCAAATTGGGGATGTTGTAATAATTTTACTACGTATTTAAACAAATCAAATGCTTATTTTAATATGACCTTAATTGGTTCTTTCTGCAGGATACTCCGGCTTCCTCCAATATTAACAACTGGTCGACAAGATTAAACCAAGACTGCTTAAAGTTGCGTTTAAAATAGATATCGCATCAATCAATCAACAAAACAATAAACTATAAGGTTTTGAAGCATGTAAAGATTACATGTTTAGTTTTCATAGAAGTGCCAGTGGGCAGATGTTCCGAAAAACTCCCCGTTAAGTCATGCATGGTTTTAAATTTTTAAGAGGATCCTGCAAGGAATTTGACAACATTTTATGATTCAAGAAGGTTGCAAATAATATATAACAAGTGTAAAGCAATATCATCTGATGATTATTCAAAAAGCATGCAAGTTTCATAAATATTTTTAAATGCGATTTCAGATGGAGAGAATGATTAGCGTTAGAACGACTAGAACGTTTTAAAATATTATTTTTTATTTGGTTTATAATAGCTAAAACATAAAGTAATCAAAAGTTTTATATGATTTATGTCCGATAAAAGCGGTGTCATATTTTCGTGCAGTATACAGTAACCCTAAGTTGGGAGGTTATAATTTTATTAAATTTTGTGAAATAAAAATCCGAATCATGCATGTAATGTGTTTATATATATATAGCTATTGAACTTCACTGTGTGAGTTTGTAACGTACACTTTCGCATACCCAATTTTAATATTTATCAATTCATTTATTTGCTCATTATAAAGGCTTATAGTACAAAAAAAAAAGAAGATGTGGTATGATTGTCAATGAGACAACTCTTCACAAGAGACAAAATGATGCAGAAATTAACAACTATAGGTCACCGTACGGCCTTCAACAATGAACAAAGCCAATACCGCATAGTCAGCTATAAAAAGCCTCGAAATGATAAATGTAAATCAATTCAAACGAGAAAACTAACGGCCTAATTTGTGTACAATGAACGCAAAAAATATATGATATATAGCAACAAACGACAACCACTGGATTACAGGCTCCTGACTTGGGACAGACACATACAGAATGTGGCGAGGTTAAGCTCGTTTGAAGGCGCCAAACCTCCCCTAACCTGGGACAGTGGTGTAACAGTACAACATAAGACCAAACTACAAAAATCAATTGAAAAAGGCTTAACTCATCAGATGGATACAAATCGAAATACATATAACAAAAACACAGAGTGCACATGAACGGGTACTTATACATCCCCACAACAAAAAGACAATAAGTACAGATCTGAGAGTACTCACAGTTACTGACAGTTATGAAATACAAGTACATTTGGTAATTTGAATGACAGTTAAACTGGTTTTCAGTAACCTGCAAAAAATGATCGTTTTCTTCAAAACACTCATTTAAAGTTAATGACTACCGTTAAGTCTATTGTATATCTTTAAGTGAATAAGCTGTCAGTTTGTAAAAAGAAAAAAATCACATTTCACCTTAGTTCGGATGTTTTTCAAATTGGTCTGTTCGAAGTACAGGTATATTCAAATCAGGTTTAAGTCTTTTGAAGCCAGCTTTACATTTATACCTAAGCATGGCTACAATTCTTTTAGAAGAGAGCTTATGGGTATACACTATAATGATTATAAATTCGTCAGAAGAAATATGGGATGCATATGCCAATATGTTTACAAATTGTTCGAAGTAAGTTTAACATGTAAACTATAGTAGGATTTCAAGTCAAACATTAAAAGTAAGTCTCACATGTATATTAGTGTAGGAATGCAAGTCTGTGCGCATTTAATAGTAAGTCTATCACTTATAATTGAGTATGCTAACCTAAAGACAATATGCCAATATTCATATATAGTAAGTCTAAATGTAAACTATTAGATCCTTTTCAAATATCCGACTGTTTACACTTCAGTATATGTTTACAACTCCATGGTAGGAAAAATTGTATCCCTGCCTATACAAAGCAAGTGGAACGATCATGGCGCATTGTGTGAACCACACGGGTTAACTGGGCTCTAGAATATTAGGGGCAGCATCGATAGTCCGACCCCATTTGTCCAACACCCCAATAGTCCGACACCCCAATAGTTCGACGCCTCGATAGTCCGACATCGGAATATTAAATACAAAAAGTATTTATTTCTATATTAGAAAGCCGAATAAAAGGTTTGTTCAATTTTAAGAGAAGGACATTGTCCTTCGTGGGAACAGACGATGTAATTTACTAGTATTAAGATAGGTTGGTGTATTAATGATAAGTAGCAAAACTTTATCACCAGCGCAATTAAAGTCAGAAAACACTTTTTAAAGCGTTGTCTAATTACTTAGATATATCTGGATACACTAGCTATCATGTGCAGGTTAAAGGGGACGCAGTAAGAATATAAAGGAACCAAAATGAACCTTTGTTCCTTAAGCATTAATATATGTGACTATGAATTGAGTGAATAAGACGGGCACATTAATTGATTTTCAAGTATAACTCGATTTAAATTTAAAACTTTTTATTAAATTGATTTTTATAAAAGGAGCTAAAATGTGGCAGTAATGCCATTTATAGAAGAATTAAGAACAGTGGGTTCACTGGTTCAATGATTATCTCCCTTCCAAGTAATACTCTACAGCTCGTAAGGAATCTACTGACTATATGAGTTTACAATTTATATTCTAGTAAATAGTAACAGGGGATTACAACATTACAATAGAGTTATCATATAAAATCATAAATAATGTCATAAATTTCCTCGACAAACGGTGAGATTTTAAGGTTATTGGAGTTCTATATAAAATCAGTTTGTCTCTTTGCTCTGAAAAATACTTGAGATTCTAACGGACAAACTAATAATTTATTCATTAATAGATGTATATGTTACAGGAACATGCCAATATTCCTATATGTATGAAGCTAGAGTATAGAAGCTAAAGAAAGAACTAACATTGATTGATTGTTATTTGCTTTACGTCCAGTGGAAAATATTTAATTTCATACATATTAGAAAAGGTTATACTGTCGATTGGAAGAAGACAAAGTTACCTTATTTATATACCCCAGTCACCATTGGGGAAAAAAAGAACTAATAGGAAAATTACATGATAGCAAGCAATCTTAAGGTTAGTGATTATTTTGGAATTAAGACACCAATCTAAATTCTGTTCAACGTTAATTGGACATGCACAATGCGAATATATCATGAAATTTCAGGCCCGGACAGAATGGCACGGACAGAATTACTTAACAAAAACATTTATGATGTGAAGAGCTTCAGGCTAAGCATAAGCAATGATCACAAGCCATACCTTTCTTATGGTGATATAACCCACATGTCAAAACACTAAGTATACATCAACAAATATGAAAAACATTATGACCATAGAAAAGAACAAGAAGAATTTAGTGTAAAACATATCGTTTTCCATGTCTGAACAGAAGACATACAGAACTTTCTGTTTTTGGTTTCTCTATCTGTAT